GGCAATCCCTCACACTAAGCATGCTTGTAGCGACAGTGGAGAGGAAGAACTCCCTTTGAACTGGAACAAACTACTGGGTTCAAAGGGAAAAAAACAATGCAATTGATCAAATTTAATCTTAAAAAGAGAAATAAAAAATAATAACATTAAATTTGAAAACATTAAAAGGAAACTGAGTAAACAGTAAAGTGACTTCTTTTGATTAAATATTTTAATTTAAGGATTGCATGTTTCATTCAATTTCTTCTTGCAAACATTTTCTTTGCTTGCAACAATAATGGAACAAAATTGACTCCATAGGCCCTGATCTATGGAACAAAAATATTCATATCTTTAAAAGCTGAAAAGTGTGACAGTTGGTGAAGAATTGCTGCTGGAAAAGCATTAAAAGATCATTTGAAATATTAAATCTGTTTTTTTATTTCAGATTATAGATATATTTATGTTAAATTAGAATATTATACCAGATATCATATTTGGCTGCTAAAATGGAAGGTTTATATTTTAGTGAATAATCTTTTGATCCTAAAAGGGTAAATAATAAATAAAAGTTAAACCCGTCCAGCATTTTAAAGCATGACAGCAGCTCCATCAAAGGCGCTGACACCACCAGTTGGCGTCTGGCTCACGGGGAGCATGTAACACTGTGTACGCTGATGCTCAGGTTTCACTGCTCCATGTCTTCGGTGCATCCCAGCTATGATTCATCACAATGACAGGCCAACTGTAAAGTCCCCAACTAACTCCAGCCACACTGGACACAATCAGCTTTTAATAGAAGTTGTTTACGCTCAGATTCCTCAAACTTTGCATGTTTGAGGAACCAAAGCATAAAGCTTAAACTGAACTTCCTTTCTAAAGCTGTTTTGTTATTTTTTCAATAGTGATATGAAAAAAATGGGGGTTACCAGGGGTTAGCCTCCACTGAAGCAATAAAAAAAAAAATATAAAAGCTATGGATCAAAAGTAATATGTAGATATACAATATTCATCTTGATACGTTTCTAATTTAATAAAGATATCATTCCAAGGATTTTCAGCTGAAAAT